GTTGTGATGTAGTGCACGGCTAATTGCATCTCTGTCAGACTGATTTCTTTCTTAGGAAGAAGAGATGAGACATGAGGCAGACAAATGTCTGTTTTTGCTTTATAACATGTTAGAACCTATTAAAATTTCAGTTAAGATTCCAAGTACAGGTTTGTGCAATTACATGTTGAGGATTTTAAGGTAGTGTAACTCAGCGGTCCCCAACCCACGGGCCACGGACCGGTACCGGCTCAGTGGCCGCGAGAGTTAATCCTCGCGTGTGAAATTTATGGTTTTCAGGGTTTTTATAGTTTTTTAGCGTTATTCTTTAGAATCCTTATCGTTAACTCAGTTTCCCTGGGTCTTTTCCCATGTGTTATGAATAAATCTTCCTTTTTTTTGGTACCGGTACTGGTTTTATTTTGTTGCATCTATCCGCAACACCTTAAAAGCCGGTCCATGAAAATATTGTCGGACATAAACTGGTCCGTGGCGCTAAAAAGGTCGGGGACCGCTGGTGTAACTTTACTATACTTTTAAGTGAAATTTGTAGATCAGACAATAACATACAGCTCATAATGTACTTGCTTTATCTACCTTCCTCAGTTCAACTCTTTTAATTTGAAAAGCTTCTATTTAGAAAACCATCCAAAAAAATCCCGTCTGACACAAATCAATCAATCACTCAATCAATAAATCAACAAAAGGGTAAATGACTTTCTTCAACAGTGGGTTTTAGTTGGCTTTACTACACTTTGTTTACTCCGTGGTCTTTTTGTTGTTTTCGGGTTTTGATTTCCTTGCAAATATAATTGAGTTTAGACTTGAGGTTTTATTGTTGTTCCAAATGTTTCAAGTTTTGATTTTTGTGTTTGTTGAATGTTTCGGTTCTTGTTTTGATTTCTTTATTCTAGCAGATTACAAGCTTTATTTTTTGTGTCCATTTTTGAGTATTTGCTTCCTGTTGTTTCTTGTGTTTTTTTGTAATGCCAAGTTTCAGTTTTACATCCTGTGTTTTGGTTCATTTCATTGTTTCTTTTAGTAGTTCCCTCAGTGATTCTTTGTTTTCTTTCTGTTACTTTCTGATTTATTTGAAGATGAGTTTTCTGTCATGTCCTTTGTTAGTTATACCACGTGTGTTCTACTGTCCAATCAGACCTGTGTGTATAAATAGTCCCATCGTCACAGGGAAGCGTCTGTTGTGCTTCCTTTTTTGCACTTGATCTTTTTTCATGTGTGTTGGTTTTCACATTTATGTTGTGAACTTTTTCTGCCTGAACTAATGGCCTTGTTTTGCATTCAAACCTCCACACTCTCAACTTTTCTGATATACAATATGCTTAAGAAAGAATGATATAATTTCAAAGTGCTTCAATTCCACAGCTGTTCACCATAACAATCAAATCGCAAAATGTTAGGAAATCATGTAAAGCTCTAGTTGAGTCCAAGGATAAAAACATGGAGGTAGAAATGACCCTAATAGATCTCTTTTAATGTCCTTCCATCTTGCAGGGGAGTGGTTCGAGTGGACATTAATCTACAGGATGTTGATATCGACCAGTGCTCCACTGATGGCTGGTTTGCTGGAACCCATCGATGCAACCTGACCACTATGGAGGTGAGTGTGCCAAGCATAGGGGCTAGATTGATTTGCTCAGTTAAACTGAACTGTAATCCACACCTACTGTGTCACATCTACACAAGGCTCCAAATGGAAAACCAGTAAATCTGTATGTCTTGTGACAAATGTGGGGATCCGATTCACCTTAAATGATACTGCTAACAATATAACCACTAAACTGAAGTGTACAGTGGATACAAAGCATC